ATGAAAACTGAATGATTGGAGAGTGCAGAAGAAGCGATGACGGGGTAGGATGCGGGCGGAGTCGTCCAGCCAAACAAGGGCCGACAGAGGCACAAAAGACGTTGGTGCTTTCGCAGTGCCTCTCTTACCCTCCTCCTCCTCCTCCTCCCCCCTCTACATGCACACGTGTGCGTGTATGTGAGGGGGAGAGAAAACGCGGAAGCGCGGAGAAAGAGACCCTCGTATCCCGGCATACGTGCCTGACTTGCGCTTTTTTTATTATCGCACAAACGCGGTGGTATCGGGCGGCCTTAGTAGGACGCGTGCAACATAAAACAAGTCAAGTTTCCCGCTCCTTTCCATCCCCAGAAACAAACAAGGTGGACGAAGGTAGAAATCAAAGAAGAAGCTACTGGATAGCGTCACTCATGGCCGATTGCGACAGCGGCAGCTTCTCACTCACGATTGTCGGCTCAGGGGTTTCCACTGGTGTGCCTGTGATTGGGCACCTTTTCGGCGGCTGCGCATGTGCTGTGGCGTTGCGGGATGCAGAGGGGCCAAACAGGCGCAACAACGTTAGCCTTCTCATTACCGTCCCATCACCTCCTGACGACGGTAGTGCGGGTCAGTGTGTGAAACACATTCTTATTGATTGTGGAAAGACCTTTCGTGACGCATACTTTCGCGTGCTTGCAAAGCATCACGTGCAGGCCGTCGATGCCCTGCTCCTCACGCACGATCACGCAGACGCTATGGGTGGCCTGGATGACATGCGTGACCTGCAGCGTATGCGGACGGAGGGTCACGATGACTGGTTTATTGAGCAATACGTCTCAACCTATGCCTCTGAAAAGACACTGAATGTGCTCCGAAAACAATTCGGGTACATACTCCGCAACAGCCGCGAGATCGGACCTGCACCACTTACTGCAGAGGAGCATGAGTCTCTCATGCAGCGCGTTGCCGAAGAGCGCAGGCGGGTGGGTCTGACGAACAAAATTGGGATGTACCGCTCCGCCGCCCTAGACTTGTTTACGCTGCCGGACAAAGCACCGACGCCGTTTTACCTCCCTGCGCTTGGCGCCGACTTCCCGATCTATTCCGTGCCAGTGGAGCACGGTGCAGGTTACATAGCGCTTGGTTTCGTTTTTGGCCGCGGCGCCGCGCTTCGTAGTGCGGGTGCCACTGATGCCAGCGTCGCAAACGGCAGCTGTGTCGTATACCTTTCCGATGTGAGCGCGGTGCCAGTGCCTGCAATGACGTTCCTGCATGACCTTGTCAAGATAGATGTGCTTATTGTTGATCTACTGTACGGCCCTGGTAAGCGGCACCCAACCCATTACTGCATGGACGATGTGATGCGCCTTGTCGCGTCTCTTCAACCGACTCGCACGTATACGATTGGTATGTATTGCGATGTGGAGCATGAGCGAGGTAATGGGCAGCTACGCGAAAGACTGGAGGAGCTGCGGCGCAGCGGCAAATGTGGCGACGGTGTTCGCTCTGTGGAGCTGGGCTTTGATGGGCTTCACATCCGACTGCCGCTGTGAGTCTTTGTATTTTTCATGTGTTTTTCGTCTGCCCCCTGACAGCTGTAGCCAATATCTGTGTGTTTTTTGTTTTGCTTTCTCATATAAATATATTCTGCCTTCGCCCCTAACTTCCCACTGCTCGTCTTGATGTAGTTCTGGTGGTGGGGGGGGGGGGCGAATGGCAACGAACTGTGGAACAGACAACCGTGTCTCTCTATCTCTCTCTCTTTTTTTTTTGACGTGTGTGATGACTCCCTGCCTCTTTCCTCCTCGCGTGCTTTTACTGCTCGTAGGTGTTCTCTTAGCCTGGACGCTACGGATGGCATCCCTGTTCTACATCCTAGACAGCAAGGGTGCCCCACTCATCTGCCGCTCGTACCGCGGCGACATTGTGCAGAACCCGCCAGCTGTCTTTCAGCGTCGTGTGCTGGATGAGGAGGAGTTCCGTGTCACGCCTGTGTTTGAGGAGCAGGGTCACACGTACTGCTTTATGCGCGTCAATGACGTCTTTTTTCTGATGGTTAGCAAGATCAATACTTGTCCGCTGCAACAGCTCGCCTTTATGCACGCTTGTGTGCAGGTGTTTGAGGGATACTTCAGGCACGTCTCTGAGGAGACCGTTGTGGATAACTTTGTTATTGTCTACGAGCTTCTTGACGAGATGTGCGACTTTGGTTTGCCGCAGTACACGGAGGCGAAGGTGCTGAAGGAATACATCACACAGGAAGGCCTCATCTCCTACCTGCTGCCAGAGGAGAAACTAAATGTGAAGGCGCTGCCACTGGCGGTTACTGGCATAGGGGGTGGAACGCCTTGGCGCATGCCCGGGAAGTACAAATACCGACGAAACGAGGTGTTTTTAGACGTGGTGGAGAGCGTCAGCCTTCTTGCCTCGCCCGAGGGTGAGACGCTTTCCAGTGAAATTGTCGGTCAACTGAAGATGCGGGTGCGGCTCTCTGGTATGCCGACGCTGAAGCTTGGGCTCAACGACAGGGCCGTGCTTGGAATGACAGGGCGACCAGGGCGCTCGGTGGAGATGGCGGACGTGAAGTTTCATCAGTGCGTGCGCCTTGACCAGTTTGAGAGCGACCGCATCATCTCCTTTATCCCGCCCGACGGTAACTTTGACTTGATGACATACCGCACCAGCAAGAAGATTGCCCCGCTGGTGCATGTGGAGTGCACATTTGTCAGCAGAGGGACGACGCAGGTGGAGATGACCATCACGGCCAGCACCACATTCCGCCGCAACACGACGGCAAACTTTGTTGATATTCTCATTCCCATCCCAGGCGACGCGGATAAGCCGGAGGCGAAGTGTTCGCTGGGGAGACTCCATTACGCGCCGGAGTCGAGCGTGCTCATCTGGAGCCTGCGCAACATTGGCGGGGGAAGACAATTCAGCTGCCTGTGCAAATTTCACCTGCCGTCTGTGCGCAGCAGCGATCCGAAGGCCCTCGAGAAGGCGCCCATTCAAGTGAAGTTTGAGATTCCGTTCCTCACCGCCTCCGGCTTTCAAGTGCGCTACCTTAAGGTGGTGGAGAAGTCCAACTATGAGGCGCTGCCGTGGGTCAGGTACGTCACGCAGAGCGGAGACTATCAGATACGAACGCATTGAAAGGAGGCATGAAGAACAACTGCAATGCAATTTTGAGTGACATACAGCCATAAGCATGCACACACACACACATACACAAGGAGAGATATATGGGGAAGGAGGCAAAGAGTGAGTTGCTCTGTTGATGGAAAGGAAGAATTGAGAGCAAAGCGAAGACGAGAGCTAAGTCTTTTATTATTTTTATTGTTATTAGTATTTTTCTCCGTGTGTGTTACTGAGGTAGTGAGGTAGTAAACGCGGCATATGTATATCTGTCTATCTATCTATTGACGTATGCTGACTTCTGCCTAGTTATAGGATGGTTTTAGCGTCGTTAAGCGCGCCTCTTTTATTTCTCTCTGTGTATGTGTGTGATTGCTGCTGCTGCTGCTGTGTTTCCCCTACTCTTTTGCGTGTGTTTTCTGCCTACTTCGATAAAAAGGTGCGCGTGCCTATATGCATGCACGTATTTATGTGAAGGGGCAGCCATGCCTACGTGGGAAGGTGTTGTTGGCCTGAAACGAAAAGTATTTACACTGCATTGCGCTTCTCTTTTATTTGATGTTCTTGTTGCTGTTGTTATTGTCTTTCCTGCGCCCCCCAGTGAGGACTTGGGGGTGGGGTGGGGGGGACATGAGCAACACCTCCTGCAGCGAAGATGAAGACGCTGAAATGTCGCCGCCACTCCTGCCGGAAACAGCGACTCCACCCCACTCCAGTCTTTGGCCCACGTTGCTGCGGAGTGGGGAGGAAACTCCACTCGGCGACATCGACGACAGCAGCGGCGGCAGCAGCAGCAGCAGCAGCAGCGGCATCCTTGGCGCGAATGAGCAACTGCCTCGTCGCAAGAAGGTGGAAGTGGAAGTAAACGCAAAACAAGGGCTCGTACATGGACGGATGCCTCCATCGGAAACTCCTGGCCGCAGGAAAGCACTGCTCTCAACTGTTGCCGTGAATTTTTGGCGGGAGATGCGGTACAAGGCGTTGCTTCCGCTAAACTGGGGAACGCGATCAGAATTTTCCGTGATGTTGGCCAGAGATGCCGTTGACGGCCGCCTCGTCACTACACGACGCTACTGTTGTCGCTGTGAAACAGCTGCTTCACCGGTAGAGAGTCTGGAGAACGGAGGTTCTGTGAATGCGTCTTTTATTCCCTTCACGGCGGCGTGGAAACGGAGAATGCAGTCTCTGCTGAACCTCTGTCATACAAATGTGAATCCGGTAACAGATATGCTTATGGATGCGGAGCGGCAGGAACTGTTGTTGGTGCACCCGTATGTGGACGGCATGCAGCCTCTGGCCTGTGTCTTTCAGCACCACCCTTGCCTGATACATCGTGACTTGACCCCCTCCTTACTGATGTGTATTGTGCGGAATGTGGTTGATGGTCTGCTCTTTTTGCACCACCATGGCGTCGTACACGGCGCAATATCCCCATGGACTATCCTTCTTGGCGTGGAAGGACTTGCGTTGCTGACAGGGTTTGGGGTTTCAGAGCTGTGTCCGTGCCCACGCGGCGATAATCCCAGTGGTGGCAGAATGCGCCCGTTTTATTTGGCACCTGAGGCCAGGCATCCGGTGTCGCATTGGCGCCGTGCCACAGTAGCCGCGGACGCCTTCGCCGTTGGCGCCCTTACCTTTGCTCTGACGTGGGAGAAGCAGGACGGAGCGTACGCCGCGCTTCGGCAGGCGATGACGGGCGTGATGCACAGCGACCCCCAGCAGCGCATGACCCTCCACGAACTTTCGTTGCTTCTCGGAGAGCTCGCATCGCAGGGCACACTCACCGAGACTGTCTCCCAGAACTTGGGTGGGCGGCTGGTTGCAGCACCAGTAGCTGAGGACCCCGCACCGTCCTCAAGGGAAGAAGAACGTGCAAGCCCATCGTCACCCCGTGCGGCTTCCGTGGTTGGGATTTTGCGGCGCGACACCTCTCCTTTGCTTCACCTCGAGACGGGACTGGATAAATGGAGATCGTCAATAACAACAACGAGGGCGATGACACACAAGCAGCGAAGGCGTCATCGTCGGTCCTTTCGGGTTTTATTTCGATGGCGCGTTGTCGCTGCCGCCGTGCTTTTCTGCACCGTCCTCGTTCGTGGGGGCAGAGAACGTCGACGGGCTTTGGCGGCACGCTTGTTATCATCTGCACGAAAAGTACCGCTGAGAAACATGCGACGCATGAATTGTGGCGGGTCTCCTTCGGCGTCGGCGTCGGTGTCGTCGACGACACGCCCACGACGGCCCGTGACGCTTGAGAGGCATCGCTCTAGCTGAGGTGCTGCCTTGTGAGTGTGTGCATGTGTGTGCGGAGATAAGCAACGTTGTTTGCTCTTTTACAGCTCCAGTGCATTAACTTCACCTGGGCCTCTGCGCTGGCTTGACGCGGCGGTGTCTACAGGAGCGGAGGCGTCGATGCAGGTGCAGCAGTGTGTGGGTGTGGGCGTTTTTTTTTCTCTTGGGTTGTTGATTCACTCTTCCTTCACAGCGGCGTTGGCGGGCCGAATCTAACTGCCTCCCTCGTTCACGTTCTTGTGGGTCCATTTTGCTGGCGTCTTCTCTCCATGTGTCTGCCTCCCTTTATTGCTTCACTCCGTGGCCGTCCCTTGGGGGGGGGGGGGGCGTCTTCCGGGCAGTCGCCACAGACTTCCCTGCCTGAGAGAACTCCCTGCCGCTGAGATGCCGCTAGGTGGGGGCCACACCTGCCAAATAAAGCACATAGTTTTCTGCGCTAGCCTTTCTTTCCATTAATCATCATCACAGCCAGGATTCATTCGTTTTTTTTTTGGTTCTCCCTGCCCTCTTTTTTTTCTTTTTTTGCTTTGTTGGCCGTAGTTGCTTGTTTAAAAAGTTTGCCACAGCTCTTTTTCTTCTTATTCCCCTTCTTGGTTGCCGTTGCCATTGCTGCTTATTCTTCTTCAACGCTCGGCACGGGAGCGGTGTACACTTCTGTGCCGGGCCGTGCGTTTTACGGCTTTGGCGTCCTGCCGTGCACTGTGGCTCCTCTCTCTTCCATTCTCGTTGCTGTTGTCGTTGCCGCGACTGCAGTTTTTCTTAGCGTGTCGGTGTTCGCGCTTAGCGATGGAGCGCGTCGGCGCCACCGCGGCCGCCGCGACGGCTGTCGCCCGCTGCACCCGCCGTGTTCGCGCCCCGTTGGACCACCTCATCGTGAGCCCGTCTGACCCCGACCAGGTTGTGACGGCGATACGCACGACGGACGCCGCCATTGTCACGTGGTACATGCCGCTGGGGGACCTGCAGCGTGTGCTGCATCGGCGCTACGAGGCAGAGCAGTTTGGCGAGCTGACGCTTCCGTCAACGACCGCGGCGTCTTCCTCGACGGCGCGGCAATCGCCCAGCGCAGGCGCGACGGATGCGTCCAGCGCCGCGGATGGGACAGTTCCGCTCGGTTTTGTCACCCTCATTGCGGGGATGAACTACCCATTGAGGCAGACGTGGCTAGAGCGCTGCCTCGACCCCGCGCCGCATCCCACACTGAGCCTTCGTGTCGCCGTGGTGGACCGTATTCACTGGCAGCGCACGGCATGGATGGCAAATTCCATCTGCCGGAGCATCTGTTGGGGGAGGCTGCCGCAGAAAATTTTCTCCATCAACCTCGACTGGCGGAATGGCGTGGGCATTGATGCCACCTTTGACGCCGCGGCGGATCGCTACACCACACCCTACGAACTGCGTGTTCCTGGCCTTGGCTTTTGCCTGACGCTGCGGGATACGGGGAAGACCCTCTTTGACCCGACGTCGCGGGTGGTGGACGGGTTTCTTGACAATGAAAGTGCGCTGCACCGCCTGGCGCTGGCCCGCGAAGTCAACATGCACGGCCTCGGTGGGTCCGTTTACCGACAGATGCTCTGGAGCACCCCCTCGTTGCCGAACATTGCTGAGGTCGTGCGCTTTGACCCTGGCACACTTTTCAAGCGATGCTTCGGCGTAGACCCTCCCGTGGCAAAGCCTGTGGCGGCGTGGCTGTTGCAGGAGGTGGAGAAGACACTCCTGTACAAAATGGAGGGTGAGGTGGAGGACGAGAATGACCCCAACAGTGCCACGACGTACGGCGACCGCTCACTCACCGAGCGTGTGCAGAAGAAGGCGATGAACCGCTACAACGGCTTCCGTGATGAGGTGCGTGGAAAGGTTTACAGCGACATTGACGGGAAGGAGCTCCCGCGGTAAACGAGGCGCGGGTTGGCGGTCAATAAGAAACGAGAGAGAGGGAGAGAATCGACCAACCGAGCAAAATTCTTTCTGCACGTGAGTCGCCGTCACACATATGCATCTTTCTTTCTCCCTTTCTCTTTTTCTGTGTGTTAGTGTGCATCTTTCTAGGTGGCTGGAATGCACACAAACGCTTCAAGGGGCATTTTTCTTGTTGATTTTGTGGCTTTATGTGCATGTGCGCTTGTGTTTTCTTCGGATATGCTTCTTCCACCGCCACCACCACAACACAAAGGGGATAAGGACACTTTTTGCTTTTTGTCGTGTGTGTGTGTGTGTGTGTGTGTGGGCTTCACCTGAAGGGTCGTCGCCTCGCCAGACATGCCCCACCGCAAGCAGATTGTGGGGAAGTATGAGTTGGGGAAGGTCCTTGCCTCCGGCTACTTTGACTGCCGCACGCGTCTCTGCACGCACATTGTGACAGGGGCGCAGTACGTGGTGCGCATCTATAACAAGAGTGTGTTGGCCGAGGCGCAGTGGATGTGGGAACGCACCCGTGACGCCATTCACGTCATGCGCACGCTGCCCAAGCACGACAACCTCATTGAGACCGTTGAGTGCTTCGAGACACAGACCTCGCTGTATATTCTCATGCAGCTGTTCGCGCCGATGCAGATAACAAGGCTGTACACCACGGAAACGAGCACCGGGCAGCGGGTGCCGGTCCCGATGCGGCAAACCAAGCACTATTACGCTCAGGTTGTCCGCGGGCTACTTCATATGCATAACCACAATGTTGTGCATCTGGGGCTTGCACCGGATCACATCATGGTGAATGATCGAGATCAAGTGAAGATAGGTTACCTTGTCTCTTGCACCTACTTTCCAAAAGGGAAAATGTGCCACGATATTCGAGGAACGACGCACACGGTGGCCCCGGAAGTGCTGCAGAGTGGAGGATATGACCCCTACCTTGCCGATGCGTGGTCCATGGGTGTCTTGCTTTACTTCATGCTCAACCAGGGCCGTTACCCGCACGATGGGGCCAACACAACAAAGAACATTATGTATAACCGCATTCGTCCTCCTGACCCCAACCTTCCCCCCGAAGCGAAGGACCTCCTTGCCCGACTCCTGCATCCCACGCCCTCACGGCGCATGCATGTCCAGAACATCCTGTCTCATCCTTTCTTCGCCACGAATCACGAAGACACGGACAATGCGGAGGGACGTGGACCCGCGCACCCCGTGGTGACATCGCCGGAGACACGTTACTCACCGGATCTTGCCACTGGAGAAAGCACGGTAAACATCCGCATTCCATACGGTCTCAGCCGACAGGAAGAGGCCGCGTACATTATTCAGCACACCTATCGTGCCTACCGCGCACGCAAACAACAACAGCTTTACGCGGGAAAGCAACCTGCGGCTAAGACCACGGCGGAGAGAAGTCGGAAAATGGGTCGTCGATCGTCCACGCAGGGGAGCGTCTCAGGCCGGGTGTTGACATCATTTCATGATATGGATGAGGTGCGGGAGTTTGTGGGGTTGCGGACAGAGAGGCGAAAAGGTCGGGGAGCGGCAGCCCCTGTCCCACCCGACATGCCACGGTTTGACGACGCAATTGCGGCAACTGCATCGGAAAGTGATGTCTTGCGCGAGGATGATGAATCCATAGCAGTTCTCAGTGAGGGCCCAGAGGCGGCCTTTACGTCAGCCGCCCTAGCGCCATCGGAACAGGCCGTAAAACCGCAATACGCGACCGGTACCTCGCGCGTCCGTGGAAGCTCTTTGGGCGGCGGCACATCCCTCAGAAGAGGGGACGTTGCACGTCCAACGATGGCATCGTTCGTTCCAGGTACGGATCTCGATGCATGTGCGGATGGTCAGGACTTGGAGGCCCTTGCTTCCCTTGTGTCAAACATCGGGGTTGATGCGACCCGCCCGTGCCCGGTGTGCCATAGAATGCCAATGCAGCGACTGTGTGGACGTGCGCCTTACTCAAATACACCGTTTGTGTACAAAAAAGGGGAATACTCCCAGAGGGTTGAGGAAGTTTGAAATATGGCCTCCCTGAAGAGAGAGAGAGATAAAGAGTGAGAGAGAGATGTGGCGACAATGGCGGACGGTGTCGGTATGTGAGTGTGGGATTTGTTGTTTTGTTTCGTGGCTGTTCCAGTTATTCGCCGAATGTAAGGATGCGAACGAAGGGATAGATTTCATGTTTACTGGGAATTGTGTTGACCAGTTCCTCTCTGGAGCGTGTGAAGGAGTAGACGAATAAGGAAGTGTAAAGAGATGCACAGATAACGTTTTATTCCTACATGCATGCGTATATTTCTGTGTTTCCGGTCCTTACTTGCTTGGGACGTCGGTAGATGGCCATCGGCGTCGTTTAGAAGCCTACTCACGTGCACAGTCGTACCCAAACGGGAAGAAGGAAGTAAGAATCCAATGGGGTTTCGTGCGTCACTTGCCCTCACCGCATTCTTTGTGATTTGTGACCTTGCGCTGTTGAGTGTTCGCTTCTCCTTCAGTAGCGGTGGGACTGTTGGGTACATTCTCCTCGCTCTACAAGAGGCCGTGCTTCTGGTACTTGCCGTGTTGCTTGTCTCCTTCGTTCTTCGCACCTATTGGCTGCTTGTGGGATCACTTCGAGATGCCGTGCGACCGCTGAAAGTGGTAGGGCCCTTGTGGGTTTTGCGCATTGTCTTGACATTTCTGCCTACGCTGTACAGAGAAGTTGTTTTGCCGCCTCGTCGCCATGAGGGAAGTGGCAACCGTCGGCCCGCACGTGCGTGGAGAGATGTAGGCTACGGTGTGCTCTGCAGCCTTCACGTGGCCCTCTTTCTCTTTTTCACCCTGGCGCTCCTGCACGTCATCTGCTACCTGAGCGCGAAGGCACTGTACCCTCGCTGTGGGCAGGGCTGCCGGGCGCAGGTGTCGGCAGCCGCCGCCGCCGCCGTGCTAGACCCCCGTCGCAGTGCCAGAAGCAGCATCCAACACAATCCTTTCTCCCGTCGCAGTTGCGACGATGGGACGTTTTCGTTGGCCGACGCCACGTCGCAGGGAATGCCATGGGTGACCTTCACCCCGCGTACACCAACGCTTGCTGTGTTTGACGACACGACTCGGAACGGAGCCAACTAGGGGGGCGCCACGAGAGAATAGGTTGGATGTATGCTTTGGCCTTGGCAGGCGACATCGGTGGGCGCCGTATCGATGTATAATGTACTGCAAAAGAGCAGTAGATCATGTCCCGGTGTATGTGTTTGTTCCTTGCGTTTTGACACGCCCGTGTGAGTGTGTGTGTGTGTGTGTTTGTTTCCGCACCTAACGATTACATTAGATATGTATATATATATTATTTTTTTCTGGGCGCGGTTGTCCATATTATTCTTTGCTTCCGCATCTGTAGGGGGAGACACGTTTTTTTTTTTTTGTCGCTCGGATGTGTCGCGCACACACGCATGCACACACTTCACTCCGCGCTCGCTTGCTCTCTCTCTCTCTCTCTCTCTCTTTCTTTCTTTCTTT